GAGCTTCCTAGCGACATCTAGTTTGTTTGGGAGATTTGATCTACCTCTCTAATTGTAAATAAGCATTCCTCAAATTCTTAGAGTTTTCTACTATTTTCTTGCTCGTTTTACTTTCTCAGAGTATCACTCTCTTCCTGCCCTTTCTCTCCATACATACACGCCCCCTTTTGTCTTCCTCCTATGAACTCCCTTCTCCACTTTCAAGTAAATAACAAGAATAACTCAACTTCTTTCAAACCACTACTATCAGTTTATCACCATAGCTTCCCCTGGGGGTTATGCTAAAAAATACCATCATCATTGTAAATCAAAGCACCTCTAGACTCACCGCACACTGAGCATTCCCTCCACAACCTTTACCTTAATTGGAAGGAATTTTCTTCCATTATCTTTCCATATTTATACATTTTCTTTCTGAAATTCTCTTTCATCTTCCTATTTTATGCTATGTTATCATTCCATAAATCTTGTCTAAACTAACCTAACTCAAACCTTCCAATAACTCAGCATTACATGGAAATGATGGAATTCTATTTCAAGGCAACTACAACCACATCAAATATTTCAAAAATTAAGAACTCAAATATTTACTGACTGGCAAAACCTTATTCCACTTTCACATATTTCCTAAACCTACACCATAAGTATGACAACATTCAACTTTATAGACAGGATACGTATCCCAGATTGCATTATACACAAATCCACAACCTAACAGGCTATGCAAAAGAGGCTGAAAAATACTTGGTCAACCAAAATGTAATGATAACCGAACACACACTTCAATACATTTACAAACTTTTCCAATTCATGGAAGCAGATAATAATAGAGTTAAAGTCGAGTCAAATTTTGAGCAGATTTCAAGCTCCATATTTTAAGCTTTATTAACAGCCCTAACCTTCTCCAACCACCTAAAATCAACTAAATGAATCAACCTAATTTGCCTTAGACCAACCTTCTTGACCTGACATGATTAACCCAACGATCAAAACAAGTTAGCCAAACCAAACACCCAAATAAGAAAAAGCAACTTCATGCTGAAATTTAACAAAACAAGATCATAATATCACTCCAATACTATGAATGAATACCTCCAGACTTCTAGAGATAAATTTTCAAAGATGTTGATAGTTGTCTCAAAGATCCACGATAATCATCTTCCAGTACTATTGTTGATGATGATGCTGCTTTTGTCTTGCCTCTTTTTCTAGGATATGGATTTATCATTCAATATATGGATTTCCATAGCTCAGTAGTGCAGTCAAGAACCTCTAGTTTTCCTCCAATAGCATTTCAATACCTAGGAGTAGAGTTCTTTGTAGCTGTGGGGACTAGAAGCATTATGAATCATCAACCTTAGTCCCTCATCATAAGTCTATGCTTTTCAATTTTACTTAATATAGAGATATCATCCTTATTTGCCTTTGAGTTAATTATTAGCATTTAAATATCATTTTTCAAGTAGAAAATGATAATGTTATCGTATTGAACATTTCCTATTTTTATAAATAGGGCTAGGGCCATGAAATTCAATTGGTTGACAAGGAATAAAGAATGGTTTCTTCTAGTAACTGATCCCAATAACAACAATACATCACTTATTTCTAACTAGAAGAGTCCAAATCATCTTTCTCTATACCTCTTCCCTCATCATTTAAGGCTTTCATTCATTTGTTCTTCAATCTCTTCCTCTTACCTCCTCGCTTCTTCCTATACACCATATTCTTTGCTCCTACAAAGTCAACCGCAATCTCTGTTTTCACAACCCTGTTCTTCCTTAGGCAACAAGCGATTGGCAAAAAATTAAGTCACAACGCTTGACACAGCCCATAATCTCCTAAAAAATTATGGAAACAGCCAAACTAAAATAAGGTTGCAACATTAAGCACTTAAAGTGTAGATTTTTTAACCCTTGACCTTCCTTTCAGTGTTGGGACTATACCACTCAACTGCCCCGTCGACAATACTGATGCATCGGGAGTCTCTCCTATATGGAAAACAAAGCAAAAAATGAAAGGTTAATGTGTATTCAGGTTAAACTATAGCAAACAAAAAATTACTATTATCCAATGTTAAATATGATAGATGCCCATAATGCTGTTATATTATTCAATCAAATTCTTGTGATCCAAAAAAATGTTCAAGAATCAAATTTAATTTGATTTTCGCCCAGATATTCCTGTCAATTGAATTTCCATTGCCTTTGACTAAGCTTTAGTATGCTTCAAGCTCAAAATGCTAGCAGACCATCATACTTTGGACCTTCTATTTCCTTAAAAGCTTTCATGGTTTGAATAGTCTAACGCTTAATTCCATTCAGGAAAAAGAATAAAAAACGAACCCAAGAAAGCCCTGACGAAAGAACCGCTTATCTACAGCCTCCTTTTATAAGAGAAAATTGCAATGGAAATGCATGACCTCATCAAACACCTACAATTTCCGAAAACGAGTTATCAGTTGTCCCGATCAGAAACAAGGCAAAGGATCTCGACCAAGCAATCGATCCATATCATTTAAAAACAAACGACGCTGATCCGATTTCTTAGAAAGAAGATTCCAACGAATATTCTAAAACCTAAATCATTCATTGTTTATAATACAAGTTTCCCTCTGGATCAGGCCAAATCTCAAGCAGACAGCGAGGAGACGATATCCTATTTAATTCTCCGAAAAAAAAAAAAGGGAAGGCAGGATCTCAAATGACTTACTATTCAGGATTCATGGCGGGATCTTCGCGTGCTGGTCTATTCCCGGCGGTATTGCTGACGCAAATTCCGCCAAATTAGGGTTGTCCAAAGGATGACATGATCGAGAAACGGAAGCCAGCCTATAAAAGCGGTTTAACGGGTTGTTGGTGAAATTAATTGTTGAAACGCCAATGACATACATAAACTTGCAATTTCAATTTCACTTATTGTAATTTTTTTATTAATGGAATTAGGCTAAGGCCTCTAACATTCTCAAAAAATATACACCACATTTAACTTTATTGATTCGCAAGCCAAAATTTGAGATTTTTTATCTGATATCTCATTATATTAACTTAGATTTTGTTTGGGGCGACTTTATTGTTGCTTCTTAAAGTAACTTCTTATTATAAAAATTTTAGTTTTTAAATTAAAAAATTATTTTAAGAAGCAATAAAAAATTCGTCCTAAACAGAACCTTAGATTTTGTTTGGCTTATGATTATAGTAGAATAAAAAATATATATTGTTATTGAGACCATCATTTTATATGAATATTTTTTTCATGATGATTGAGTAATTGTAATTTTTAATAGTTAAAAGAAACTAGTGAAAAATAGCTACCATAAGATTTATAAATTTGTTATTGTGGAAGAGTGAATGAAGATTTTTTAAGTTGAGAATAAAACTTGAAAAAAAATTGAAGTTGGTGAAGAGAGCTTCTTTAGACTTTAAGCCAAATGATTGGTTACATGTATCAAATCTTACATTACAAGTTCCTAACTAAAAACTTAAATCTATGATAATAAGCTTTAATGATTTAGGCTTAATTTGGAACAATTTTTTTCTACTTTGATTTGCAGTCTGCAATTACAATTTCAATTTGGCTACTATTTTTTCACTATTTAAAAAAAAATTACTATGAAACTGCTTTTTATGATAATTTTAAGAAGTTATTTTCCACACAACAATTTTATAATCACCTTTACAAAAGTTGTAGCCATCTCAAATGGACCATTAGGATTTCTTTGGAATTGCTTTTGAACTATTCTCATGATACCAAAAGTGGTTAGCGAAAAAAAAAAAATTTTGCTTATAGAAAATAATTTTTGGGCCGCAATTTCAAAATTTTGCCTCTAAAATGTTATTTTTGAAAAAAAAAATTTGAACAATAAAATGTGAAATAGCTTTAAAATTCAAAAATAGAAAAGTCTAAACTATCCCGAATAAAATTTTAATTTCTCACCTAGCAAGTCAATGATTCTTGAGGCAATCTTTTAAATTTTACTTAGCTGATCAGTGTTTTAAAATCTCCTCAATATTATTGTGAGTAATAACATAGAACTTGAATATTCTTTTATTTTATTTTATAATAATATTAATTAATAACTATTAATTTAATAAAATTCACTCTCAAGCTAACTCAACTTAAATAGAAGATTAAGTGGAGCTTACTCATACTTCTAACGATCTGTTTCATGTTTATTAACTCTAAATGCAAACAAGATATTGGGCTTAAGGACCCTCTTCTTTTCTTTATTCTTAATTTAAGGCATCATTTGGGACCCTCTTTTTATTGTTTCTTAAGGTTTCGTTTGGGATAGCTTTTTTATTGCTTCTAACTTTAAGAAACAGACATAAAATCATTCCAAATAAAACTTAGTTTTTTTTTTTTTTTATGATGCGGTGCACTTTTCGTTGCTTAGGGCATCTCCAACGGAGAACTCCATTTTTCATACCAAAATACCGCAAAATGCAAAAATGGCTTGGTTCTGCTCCAATCGAACGCCATTTTTTTGCTTCTGCGCGAAGCTAACGATCCTTCTCCTTTGGCGCGTTTTTCCGGTTGAGAGAGGAATATATATAGCGTGGGTGAACAGTGCAACGCCAATATTGGGGTTGCACTGTTCACCCGCAAGCAAATGGCGGACGTTTTGGCGTTCGGCTGGAGCGACCGAACGACGCCAAACACTCGTTTGGCGTTCGGTTGGAGATGAACTTAGATTGGGAAGGCTTTGACCTTATGAGCTTGGATCAAGATCGTAATTTTTAAATGGACGTTATTTATTTTTTAACTTTAAATAGTTTTATTGAAGTTAAAGAATGTATAGAAAAATATTAGAAGAAAGCTTCATTGTGGCGTCATGGTGGGCATCACCTTCCAGCTAATTCGATAAAAAAAACAATTATTATTAATATTATAATAAAAATATAAGTTCCTTTATTCAATTTATTCAGCATTAAAAATCATTATGTGTGAAGAAAATAACTCGAAGAAAACCTGACCGATCAACTGCTAAAACACAGAGGAACCGAGCTGTTAAACTGCCCAACAAACTCAGCCACCAGCTTCAACTTCCATTTCTATTACTACTTTAATCCATTAAGGGATGAATTAAAATGCAATCTTTAAACAAATTTGAGTTTCTTATTGGCTCAAAGAGTTAGGTAAGCTAATATAAACCAATAAACCAGCATAATTATATAAATATATATGCGATTTGCTTTTCCTTATGCTGGATCTTCCAACCTCCATTAATGGCTAAGCTTCTGCTCCTCTCAGGGCTCTCTGTAATCTTCACTGTGTTCTTAGCTTGTGAAGCCACTATCTTCATGGTCGGCGACTCCGCAGGCTGGGATACAAGCGCAGATCTCACTTCATGGCCAGTCAACAAAATTTTCTCTGTTGGTGATGTTTTATGTAAGTGATTTCTTCTTCCTCATTCAACTATTTAATCATTCGTTTTACATCACATAAGAGTGAATTTTCTGCTAAATTTTTATCAAAAACATACATATAAAGCAAATTAAAATAAAGTTTCTACCTTGCATGGATCAGTATTCCAATATTCCAATTATCACACAGTCAATCAAGTGGACAAAAATGGCTATGACACCTGCAATTCTTCAAATGCTTTACTGTCAAGGTCTGATGGGAATACTTCGATCTCCCTTTCTTCTTCTGGCGATATCTATTTCATTTGCTCAAAACTTCCGCACTGTTTTGGAGGAATGAAGCTTAAAGTTAACGTGAGGAGTAACCAGACTGGCGAGCCGCCAGCCGCATCGCCGGAGTCGTCTTCAACGAGTACTCTCCCTCGGAATCCGACGACGACGGCGAATGGTGACTTTTTGCCTCCTTTATTTGGTGGCGCAGATCATGCTGGAAGAGGCTGTGAATTGTTCATCACTCTGTGCTTCAATTTTGGAGCTTTGTGGTGGCTGTTCATGATGAGATTTTGAGTGAATGTAGAAAAAAAAGTTCATGATTTGAAGATGTTATATAGAAAATTTTTATTTTATTTTAGAGTATAGAGATTGTTAATTTGTAATTTGTTGGAATGATGGCTACTTTTTTGGGGTTTAAGATGTCATTTGTAGTGCCTTGAAGACACTGATGCTTTCAGCTTAATTTGGCTTGATTGTGATGGTTGGATTTGGTGATGAATTTTGCAATATGTTAATATTCACTAGAAAGTTATAATTGGAATTCATATCCGTAGATGAGAGTAGTGTCACCCACTAGCTTTTTATTGGTAGATTTTAGGTTTCGTTTGGGACAGGTTTCTTACCGCTTCTTAAAATAGTTTTTAATATAAAATTTTATTTTAAGTTGTGAGAAAGTTGTTCCAAACGAAAGCTGAGGCTTCGTTTGGGTCAATTTTAGATCATTATTTTTTTTCCTACTTTCAAGATATTTTTTACTAAAAGGTAGCTTTATAAAGCAGTAAGAAAACTGTCCCAAACGAAGCATAATGCTTAGTTTTAGACCATTTTGATCATTATTTTTTCGTTGCTTTTAAAAAATTTATGTACTAAAAATTTATTGTAGAAAACAGGAAAAAAAATTATTCCAAATGAAGGCCAAATTAAGAAAATAAAAAAGTTGCTGGAGATAGCCCATAAAATAACAACAAAAAAAAGTTATACTACATTAAGGTGCTGAAACCCCCCCCCCTCCCTCCTAAAAAAATAAAAATAAAACTTTATTATATAATTTTTTAGCTAATTTATTCCCCTAAATATATTTTTTAGTCTTTATTACAAGGGTTTTTAGACAATTGCCACCCCCCCTAAAACTTTTAAAATACTATGATCTTTAGGCAATTGCCCCCATCAAATAATAAAGAGCATTCATCATTTTATTTATTAATTTGAATCCCGACAGGGGGCGCTGCCCCCTAAGACCCCTGACAGTTATTTATAAGTTTGTTCCCCCTAAAAATTAAGGTTGGTTCCGCCCCTGAATTGGTCTAAATATCCTTTAAAAAAATGCTTATATGTTGAGAATTTTGATATCTTTAAAGTTGAGCGCTTTTGTGATAATGATTTAGATGATATATTAAACCACTATATAGTGATAAGAAACCTAGCACATTGGCATATATCATGAATCAAATAAGTAATATGTTCCTATTTTAAAACTAAACATATTACTTATTAAAATAAAAACTATCATTCTACAATTTTAAAATTACTTGTTGAAAAAAAAAATGGCATACCTTCTTCCGAAGGGCAAATTATTACGTGGGGCATCCATATTCGTCTTGGAGGTGAATCCGGACACCCCACGTCACCCCAACCCCAGTGCATCCAGGTGATGTGGCACGTCCGGATTCGCCTCCAGACGATCCAGACACCGCACATAATAATTTGCCATTATGAAGGTATTAGAAAGTTTAATTGATGATTTGATATACATTTTACAATATCATAGCATCATTATTTTTGTTCCATCTCAATCAAATAATATATAAATAAATATCATATCGCATTTGATTGTATGCACACACATTATATTTTGAATTGGCTCTTCAATTTTTTTTTTTTTTATATAAGTGATTTGGTCTTCTTTAGCAATATGAGCGGCACTCGTGTTCCACCGGCCAATTGCATCAATATAATCCTATTTATATAATTTAAGAGTTAACAAATTATCTTACTTAAAATAAATTTATTTAAACAAATCTACATTTCAACTTAAAAAAAGTAAAACATTCACTACCAAAAAATAATCCTTTTTCGCACCAATTTTATTAATGCTGTTTTTAAACCGGTGTTAAAAGTTATATTTTGCACCGGTTAAAACCGGTTCAAGATTACCGTGACCCAAATATCTCATCCCTCTCATTTCCGGATCCCCAATTTCTTCTCCTTTCCGACCGCTCCGTCTCGATAGTTGTGTGAAAGCTCTGTTCGTATAATAGCGATGACAACTGTGAAAATCTTGCATTTGAAAACAAATTTGATGATGATTTTTTCAGCAAAAACATAATTTAAAAAAATATATTAAAATAAGTGCACCTTATTTGGATTTTATTTGTTTATTTTTTGACCTGGACTGGGACGGTATACCAAAATATTTGAACTTTATAATCCTTAAAGTTATCAGAGGATGGTGGAGATGGGCATAACCAAGAACATGGCAAAGTTGTAGATATGGAGTATACTAAAGGAGATATTAATTCTAAAATTAATCATTTGAAATAACTAGTATTAATGTAAGAGGGCGGAGTTGGAGATATGAATGGTAATGCTAATTATGGTGATAATGAAAATCCAATAAGTTTTTAAAGCTTTTGATTCCATATAGGAGGAAGTAATTAATGTTCTGTCTTAGCTTGTGGTTTTTGAAGCTTTTTTATTTTGGTCATATATTAAAAGCATAGATATATGACCAAATAAATATTAAAAGCATAGATATATTTGACCATATGATCAAATATAACCTAAACTCCAATATTGGAGTTTAGGTTATATTTGATATTTGGAGTAATAATTTTAATGATGGAGGAACAATTATTTCGATTCCTAAACGACACTGCCTTCAAATTCCTTCTAAAATGGTGTGAGATTGTCTTTGATTAGTGCTAAAATTTAGAACTGTTAATATTTGATCCGGCTCGAAACCCGATTCTGGCTCAACCTGGAAAATTTTGAGTTCGACCAAACCCGTATGACATATGGGTTAGGTTCGGGTTTGATTTTCTGACCCATTTCAAAAATCGGGTTGGGTTCGGGTTTACCCGAAAACTCGAAAGTGACCTGAATCATTTGTTGTTGGTTGTGCTCGCCCTCCCGAACTCGCATATGTACCCAAACTCACTCACCCTCTTGCCATCCCTCCTAGGCCACTGGTCGCGCTCACTTGACACCCTCCCGTCATCCCGCTCTCGTGCGACGCATCTACACTTGGATTGCCGAATCTGTGCCCTCATCTAGCTAGCTCCTCTTGCAGTCTTGCACCGCACCCCAGCTCGCTTACTCGTGAGTAGCGACCCCTTCGCTCGCCCGCACCCATGCATTCCCACTCGTCCCAGAAAATCCGATTTAGTAGGTTGGGCCGGTAACTCTATAATTGAATGAAACACGTCGACACTGGGTCACTTGGGCACGTGGCGCTAGTCTCTAAAACGAGTTTTTTATTTTATTTTATTTTTAAATGCCAAATCTGCTCCACTCTCTCCCTCACTCGCTTAGTATTGCCCAAGAAGGAAACCTAAAAGAAGGGGGGAGGAAGGATGAGAGAAGAAAGAGAAACCAAGTTTTTGGCCTTCAATCCATTTCTCCGCTTTTACAAAATTTCTTCAGATCATTTGTAGATGACATCTATCATGCTTCTGTTTTCAAAGATTTCGATTTTTACCATTTGATTTCTCTCAAAATAATTTTTATTTTACTTTTGTTAGATTTAGTGAGTTTTTACCACATAACTTTTGATAAACTGTAGTACTTATTATTTTGGTCATTTTGACTTATTGGTTTTGTTTTTGCACAGGTTAAAATGGTAGCTTTTGCATTTTGTATGATATTGTAGGAATAATGATTTTTGCTATTTTGTTATAATTATATTGCTAATGCAAATATTGTGAATGAATATGAGCATGTAAATGAGAAATAACATATGTTATTATTTTTACAATAGTGATACAATAAGTTGATAATGTGTGTGAAAATAAGTAGAGATTGATTATTATTAAAGTTGACTATAGACTGATTTAGACATGATGTCGGGATGACAGACTTTCTTGTAAATACTATAGTTTGTGGTATTATCCTATGCTTATTTACATCCTCACATGATTTATTGATTATGAGTTATAAGGTGGTGATTATCCTGCCGATGAACAATAATGATGACTCCATTTACAGAAAGCCAACTATTACTGATTAACTTATTACTAAAAAAATATCATGCAAGCTGTAAATCTTTAATTGTTTAGTGTATATACAAGATATTAATTTATTATATTGTGTTTATTATTACTGAGCATGTGGTTCTTATTATTGAATAAGTGATATAAGATGATAATACTATTGCTGGTATAACTAAGCATCTTGTGTACACTCCTATGCGATTACTATATTGTATTGTACCATGTCGTTATTGATTTTCACTATTTTCCTGAGTATTATCGCTTTACTAGTCTATATGATTTCTTCAATATTTGAATAGTATTGCTATGTTCTATTATTTAAGAATGATTATTTATTGATTTACTACTTTGACATTCGTACTACATTGTTTTACTGATATACTATTTTAGTATGTGTTTTATTATTTTTGCACAGATTCATGATTATATTGTATACTATCATGGGCGGACCCCCATTGACTTGAGGGGGGGCAAATGCCCCCCTCAAAAAAATTTTTTTTTTTATTTTAGAGGGATTGTTTGGAATATTTTGGATATTTTTGGCATTTTTCCCCCTCTCAAAAAAAATTTTTGCCCTCATTTTATAAATCCTAAGCATCTTTGCCCATCCCCCACAAAAAAAATATTTTTGCCCACCCTGAAAAAAGAAGCTGGATCCGCCCCTGTATACTACTGTTATGAATTGAATGATTATATGAATATTATTTCTTTTTGTTCTTTGAGTTTAGTAGTAAGATTTTGGTGACCTGGTGGACTTTTTAACCTCATCATATGTTGTTTAATGATTTTATGTTAGAGAGAAGGATCACGAGTATGAGATTGATCAAATACATGATTCTTTAGGTTATTATTATTATTTTATTTTTTAATCATTCTTTTGTAGGCATGAGTGGGTAACGATATATTGTATTTATATGACTTTTTGTCTATTATATATTTATTTTTGAGAAATGAATAAAAATGTATCTTGGTGTTTTAATCAACATATTTGTTTCCACTAATATTTTCTTATTAGAAGAAATTAGTGTTATAACTAAAAAAATATTTTTTACCTATTACAATAAAATTATTTATTTCTAGAGTTATTATAAGTCCAAATAAAAAATCGTATTACATTAACATATATATTGTTGTGTTTTAGTTTCACACATTTTTTCATAATTTTTGGGCACTAGTGAATTTCCTTAA